GGCGATGGCCACAAGGACGAGCGCCGGCGAGAAGGCCGAGGATGCGCTTGGACCGCCAGCGGCGCGGGGCCGGCTTCTTGGCGCGAGCAAAGTCGTCGACCTCGCTCATGCTCGTCACGAGCTGCGTTCCCGCGACGTACGAGATCGAGTGCATTGCGCCAAGGCGTGAACAGGGCAAAATGCACACTGCCGTGGTCGGTTATACTGCGACAGCACTGCAGATCAAGAAGACGCCAGGAATGTTTGGAATGACAAGCGAAACCACCTCACTTGCCATGTCGGTCCGATGATCTGTGCTACCTCACTAAATGCCACCTTCAGCGTGAGGTAGATGGCCGAGTTGGCACCACAACTACGACCTGCGAGAGGACGTCGTTGGGATACCCTGATGGGCAGAACGGTATCAGGGCCTCGCCACAGCACGTTCGACGGCGACATGCCAGAATGCTCTGTACAACGGTTCTCGTCTCTGCCCCGGTGGCTGCACCAGGCTTTGGACCATCCAAGAGGAGCTGTAAGAAAGCAGTACATATTTCTCAATTCGACGGTTCACTCGGGAGCAGCATCCATCGATGCTTGCGTTGGTGTCGCTTCCAAGCCCACGGCAGTGTAGCAGGTCTTTGGCTCGCGGTGCCCAGTCAACTTGTTGCATCATCAAGTCGTTAAAGCAGCGTGGTGGGTCATGTCGAAAGCCACAGCTTTGATTGTGTGCATTGGTCATCATTCCATTTAGTGCATAGTTATACGATGTACAGAGTGTCCGTGGGACCTTTTACAGCAGCGAGAGAACGCGTCGGGATCGGGACTTGCGGCGCGAGCGCGGCGTCGAGGCGCGGCGAAGGGGTGTCGTCGGAATTGGCGAGAACGGTGCGTCGGTCGATCGCCCGTGCATGTCTTGTCGCTGAAGCCGACACCGATGGTCTCGTAGAGATGCCAGTGGTACAGTAACGACCGAGTCACACAGCAGCTTGAGCTCAACCTACGTCCACTGTCGTCATCGGCTCGAGATGGAGGTTCATCGAGTACCGCGGTCTCACTCACGGAAGCAATCTCACCGTAAAATGCTTCCTAGTCGTATGGCATGAGACTCGTAGAGATGATTCTCGTCGCATCTCGTACGTCGGCCAGCGCCGAGTGGAGCACGATGGCATCGCCAACGCGATATGGCTGCGCGCAGATGTGCAACGTCTTGTGCGTCGCATCCCAAAAGCACTCGGCGGCTACGCTAGCATGAGACAGCATGGGACACATTGAACGTACTACGCGAAGATGCGTCCATTGCGACGTGCGCGGCCTGCCAAGCATCGCGCGTGGCTTGGAGCTGGGCGACGATCGTGGACGTGCTGGGCTGGACCGCGGCAATGTGCTCAAGGTTGAAGAGTCGGCGCTTCTCGTCGAGCGTACGATCCAAGGCCGCTGCGAGCTCTCTATCTGACAGAGTCTTCCCCATGGGCAGAGGCTGCGCCGTGTTGTCGATGGCAGAAGTGGCCAGGTCGACGTGCGATGGCGGCGGCGTGCGCAGCGCGCGCTCCATGGCCTGGGCGTACACTTCGTCCAGCTGCTGCAGGTCGAACGCGAGTAGCTCGGCGTTGTTCTTTTCGAGGAGATCGCGCCGGAGCCGTGCGAGGTCGAGGCGCGACTGCTTCTCGGCCGCAAACGCCTGCACCTGCTCGACGTACTCTGGTAGCGTGCCATCTTCCAGCTGGGCGAGCCGCACCTCCAGCGCGCGTATGCTATCTTCATAGAGCTCCCGCTCCATGACGAGGTAGTCGTGGTCGGTCATCTTCCGGTCGACGTCCTTTGTCGATGCTGCCATCGTTGTGTTGGGTATGGATTCGGCAGATGCCGACAACAAAGGGTTTACATTCGGCACACGTGCCGAATACAACACAACTGCAGGACAGCAGACAAAGTCTAGCCAGTCTAGCCATGAGAATACTTGGGCCGAGCTCTTGGCGTATGGCCTTGCACACAAGGCAAACGAATAGCTTTCCTGGGCTAATATGACTGGAGCGAGATGGCATTTGGACGGAAACTTGACACTGGAATCCCTTTACCTTGCTGTTGTTGGCCTATCGTGCTGCCACGTATCCCAAGCCTGCAAGTGCGCATCATTGACCGCTTGGCGACGCTATGGCTCGGGTACATCTTTCTCAAGGGTGTCCAGCTCAAGCACGACATTGCTTACCACCAACGCTCATGGGCTCTCGCTTCAAAAGGCGCTCTACAGAGATGCAGCACCGGGTTCCTGTCGTACTTGCATCCTGTTTCGAAGCCGCAATATCCAAGAAGCAACCGCAAAATCTCGTTCTTTGTTGAGAGTATCGAGCTCGCGCATCACTCTCGCCTCCGATGGAGCCAGCTGGCATCGGCTCGTGGCGCCGGAGGCTCCGTCGACGTAGCTCGCTTCCTCGCCTGCAGCCAGCGCTTATTGGATGATGCGCCTCGAGAACACCACTTGCATGCTGGCGTAGGTACAAGCCGGTACCTGCAGATAATAGCATCGAAGCCACTCGATGGCGGCGCTTCCTAGCCATGTTGGCGATGTGGCGTCGACCTCGATGGCGACGTGTCACTCGCTAAAGCAGCGACTGCTGTCCTGTGCTTCGCTGTGTATGGCGGGCGCTGGACGCACCTTCATATACCGCGTCTACCTTGTCGCCTGGCGTGATTGACCGAGATCTTCTCGTTCTCACGCAGCTTCAAGTTGCGCTGCGATTGGTCCACTTTTGGCCAATCCGATGCGCGTCCAAGAACAAGCGGTCACAAACGCGGGTGCGTGGAAACCAGGACCATAGGGTTTGAAATCAGGACTTTCGGACCGAGAACACGCAAAATATAATTAAAAAATGGAAGGGCCCCCGTCGCTCGTAAAAGATCGTGGCAAGCGGCTTCTTCTCTCGGCCGTTCCTGCACAGTGGTCGCGCAGTCCATTTCCATCACCCTCTACGCTGTACTAGTAGTATGTATGCCCTCCAGCAGACTCGAAACCACTAGGCATTGACGTGGCTTTTGTTTCTGCTTGCTTCCAAGGTCACCGCCGCCAAGCAGCCCAACAGCCCAACGGTCCTCAACGGTACAGTATGCAGACGCGGATTGCAAGGAAAGTGGCACGGCTACTTCAACGTTGCGTGGTCTCATTTCTCATTCCGGCATCCGCCACGGCCCAGCCGTCTTCTTTCACGCTTGTGCCCCGCCGCAATATAAAACACAGCGTGTATCGTAGCATACCATGCA